AAAAGGAATATTAAGCAGTCTAGCAGCAAATCTCAGGAATCTATTCTGAACACGTTCAAGTCTGATTATATTGAAAACATAGAAGGGAGACCAAATCACACATGCATACTCGATCATAGATCTAACAAGCGTCAGATACAAGGTTTTAACAGTGATAATTTTATTAAACACTGAAGCATTCATATATCTTCATATATCATTCATATATCATTCATATATATCGCAAACATTAAGGGACCAAGACGTGATCCCTGCGAAACACCCGAGGTTGCTAAAAAAGGATCGCTATAAATACTATTGACCCTGACTACCTGACACCTATCAGAAAGATAACTTTTGAAAAAATTGACTATGTTATCAGAAATTCCTATAGATCTAAGTTTATGCAATAGTATATTGTGGTCAACCCTATCAAATGCCTTTGAGATATCTGCATAGATAGTCTCAATCTGGTAATCCTTCTCAATATTCTCAGATAAGTAAGTTGAAAAAATACCAAGATTTGTCAATGTGGATTTACCCTTAACAAATCCATGTTGTTCCTCTATAATGATCCCTGAGACTGCCGCGTATATATTATCAAAAATAATACTCTCGAAAATTTTCGCAAAAGAACTTAATAACGTTATTGGTCTATAATTCTGTGTGTCGTTCTTATTATCAGACTTGTACACGGGTGTTATTACTCCCCTTCTCCACTCCAGTGGAAACACTGAGGATTGTAAAGATTTATTAAAAATTATAAATAACGGCTCAATGATCGAATAGCCACATGACTTAATGAAGGAAGGAGGTATTCCATCCGGACCCGCCCCCTTGTTAATATTTAAATCTTTAATTATCTTAAAAATATCATTTCTGTTGACACTAATTTTATTAAGACTGACATCAAAGTTCGAGTTAAAAGATGAATCTGGATACTGTGTTGTTGGTAAAGTGTAAACTGACTTAAAATGTTTTGCAAAAAGATTAGAAATTTCATGCGGTGTATCTCCAGATTCATCCTTGAAAAACATATGTGCAGGAATATTATGATCTCGACGAGTGGAACTCACATACTTCCAAAAAAATTTTGGATTTTCCAAGATAGCATTTTCGGTATTAGAAATAAAGTCATTGTAACAAGTTCTAGAACAAATCTTACATTCAGCCCGTAGCTTAGAAAAATATAAGTAATTTTTATCACTTTCGTCTTTGATGTAATTTAAATAAGCTTTTCTTTTAGCAAATACTAATGATTTTAATTCCCCAGTAAACCATGGAGGAAAAGTTGAAAACCTGTGATATTTCAAAGGAATAAACATATCGAAAATATTATATAAATAATCATAGAATACTAGTAACACTTTGTCAACATTGTCATCATTCAAAAGTAAATCCCAGTTTGTGGAATTTAAGTATGTAATAATGTCTGCCATATTTGCTTTTTTGAAATCATAACTAACATTGTAACCTTGCGAAAGATCATTATCAAAAATATTTAAATTAAGAAAAATAACATCAATTAATAGAGGGGGGTGATAATTATCAACAGGTAGAATAGAGTCACAAATAGTGTTTACGGTGAAAAAATCCCCATTACAGATGATCAAATCAAGAATCGAACCGAAAATATTCGTATTTTTGTTTATTTGTGACAAGCCTAAGAAGTCGATGGTATCAAGAAAAAGAGATGTTATTTGCTGCTGTTGAAATGAGAGTTCATTAAGTAAATCCAATTGTGAAATATTTCCAAGAAAAAATTTGGTTAAATATGGCAAATTAAAATCTCCAAGAATAAGTATAAGAGCATTAAAATACTGGTCATGCACTTCTTCAAAAATATTACACACCTCGACAAAAACACTAATTGATGAATTGGGAGGTATGTAAAAACAGCCAAGAATGTATAAATTATTTTTGTATCTAAATTTAACAAATACGTGCTCAATGGAAGATATTCTAGTATCAATAATTGAGCTATGCAAATTTTTTTTGACCGCAATCAGAACACCTCCACCTCTAGTCTTATCACTAGTTGCACTGCTCCTGTCAAACCGAAAAATATCAAAGTTGTGAAAACCAAGTTCGTGGGATTTTATATTATCGTTTAGCCAAGTTTCAGATAGTAGATAAACACTATAATTACACAGGCCGACAAGATTTACTTTCCAAGAATCAGATAATACTTTTCCGAAGGATTTCGACGTGCTGAATCCGAATCTGCCCTCAAAATAGACCCATCACGTCAGGTTTTCGAGATATTTTAACCTAAAAGTGCAAAAAACCTGTTTTTAGTCATATTTGATGTCATGTAACATCAAGAGATAATTTTTTATTTAAAAAGTCAATATTGCGTCTAAAAGTGCTACTCTTCCCCTTTAATATCCATTTTGAAAATTTAAAGAATCTTCATTTGTCTTTGAGTAATCGTTCGTTGAATTTTTTGAGTTTGTCGAATTCTTCGAAAACTGAGTAGAAACAGACAAAACTTCGATAATAAAGCAGATTTTAACTACAAACATCTAAATTTTAAATAGTTCTGAGGATTTTTTATATAACTGAATACGAATTCGATATCAGATTGACAGAATTGAAAATGGCGTATACAATATGGCAGATGATTTACTTAAAATTGATTGTATTTGCCTAAAATATGCCATTTTCAATTCTGTCAATCTGATATCGAATTCGTATTCAGTTATATCAAAAATCCTCAGAACTATTTAAAATTTAAATGTTTTTAGTTAAAATCTGCTTTATTATCGAAGTTTTGTCTGTTTCTACTCAGTTTTCGAAGAATTCGACAAACTCAAAAAATTCAACGAACGATTACTCAGAGACAAATGAAGATTTTTTAAATTTTCAAAATGGATATTAAAGGGGAAGAGTAGCACTTTTAGATGCAATATTGACTTTTTAAATAAAAAATTATCTCTTCATGTTACATGACATCAAATATAACTAAAAACAGGTTTTTTGCACTTTTAGGTTAAAATATCTCGAAAACCTGACGTGATGGGTCTATTTTGAGGGCAGATTCGGATTCAGCACGTCGAAATCCTTCGGAAAAGTATTGTCTGATTCTTGGAAAGTAAATTGAATCAAATTTTGTTGGCCTGTGTTATGAATGGGAATGTTTTGACGGAGATCGTGCACCTTCGTACGTAAGCCCTTAACATTTTGATAATACAGTTGCATAGGAGGGGAAGTCACTGAGAGTGGGATGGCTCTCCCACCTGTAACGTAACAGTGGTCGTGCGTTTCGGTGGGGGAACTTTGACAATCATAGGGACTCCTCGACGATACACTAATGCGATGTTCATCTCTCCCTCCCGCCGACGCGCAGCCAGCTGATCTTGGACTCCTCGAATCTCCTCTCTCTGCATAGACGTTTTGTCTCGCGTTAGGGACAGATTTTTCAACTCTGTGGAACGGACTGGGTCTTGCTTCGCAGCAATAAAGGTCCTTAGTACTTTCTGTGCCCCTTCCTCCGTCACGCACACAATTTTCACTGGTCTGGGTTTTCGTAGGACCTGCGCATTTGAACCGATTCTTAACATTTGAACACTTTCTAGGTCAACAACATTTATTGAATTTCTAAGTCTATTAATAACCAGTGTTTTTAAGTCTGCTGTATTCAATGTGTCGTTTTCGGGAAGACCAAATAATACGAGATTTTGTTTCCTATCATTCCTGTCAAGTATTTCATTAACACACACACTTGCATTTAGTTTAGGGTCAACTTTTTCGGAAAGGGTGGTCTCGCATTTATCAAGTCTCCCTTCCACGGTTATTATACGGTCAGACAGAGAGGAGACCCTACCTACAATCTTATCAAGTCTAGACAATATGTCGTCAAGCTTGATATTTATGTCTGCAAAATTTTCATTCATGTTGATGAAATTAGTGGAAACTGTACGTGTCAGTTTATCCAAAGCTGCCATGACCGTATCAAAGTTGCCCGTTGCTAGGGAATGTTGGGAAATAACTGAAGGAGATGAAGACCTGGGTTTACAGCATATCTTGAATGAGCCATCGGGTAATGTAGACATCTGTGACACACAACTTCGATGATAAGGCAGATCGCATCCGGTGCAAAAAATAGGTAATGCACGTGTAATATCTTTACTACACTTTGCACATCTTTCCACACCACCACTTGATGCCATTTCAGCCACATCAGAAAATTAATACAAAGAACACAGAACCCAAATTGAACATTCAAAAATATCCGTTAATAACCGCACCAAAACTTTAGTGTTCAAAGTGAGGTTAGGACAGAATAATCCCAAGAATCTACAGTCCAAAGATCGTTAATTTTGCAATAAAAGTCACCAACTAAGCAAACCGAAAAGACACAATTGAAACCGACCGTCTATTGTGAATATAAATGTCTCAAACAAACAAAATATCAACTTTTAAACGCAGACAAACGCACAAGCATGTGCACTAATTGGCCACCTAGCGGCCAATTCTGGAAGAGACCAGAAAGAGAATACGTTTATCTAAGGACAGAAAAATATGTTAATTAATTTGTCAATAATCTCTGATTGCGTAAATATATTTTAGGGATATTGTTTGCTCTTTTTCATTAAACCAAAACAAGGTATATATAGATATATCTCTACAAAAATATTTGTTTGTTTGTTTTTATCAAGAAAAATATCACTAACATTACTATTCAATTAGTTTGTTTAAATTACTAAAACTTAAATTAATTATTTTTAAAATATACTTTAATTAACCCAGTAAAAAAAAAACTAATTCAAATGGATCAAAATGAATTAAGATTTTTGGTAGAAAGCGGGATTCATTCAAGCTCTTTGTATATTCGATTGAATTCGATTCAATTTGCATGAAGTTGTGCAAACGAATTTGTATTCGTAAGAAATGACCAAGGTATGCATTGAATTTTAGTAATTTGATAATTATTTTTTAATTTTTCTTTATAATTTAACTAAAAACTTAAAACTCACAACATATGACTTGCCAATTTTTAATTACATTAATTTATTTTACTATATTTTATAACCAAAACGCCGCCTGAAACAGTGCACAAATAATTTGTTCTTTTTGAGAGAATCACCCAGGTTCGAATCTAATTTTTCATGTAAACTCTTATCTTCTGAAGATTGGAATACATCAAAGACTTCCTGGGAATTAATCTCAATATCATTACGTGGCTTTTCGGAATGAGTTACTAGCGCATCTCTTCCACTGTCTGTAATTATTGGATTTACTTGTTCCATATAGAGACTGTCAACAGCAATTTGAGCTTCTTCTCCTTTCTGTGGTAAAACAACAGGATTACAATTTTGCTTCTTTTCTATGTTTCTGAAATATAAACAATAAAATTTTACCTATGGAAAATAATAAGCATAAAATATTTTAAAGAATATTTTGCATTAATACTTGATTTCGTTATTTTTTTAATAATTAAATTTATTTATAATAAATTATTTTATTTACATTATTATAATTATAAATTAATTGTTCTTACGAATTTCTATTCAAAGAATTGTGTGTAGAAACAGCTAAATTCTTGGACGTGCAATCATGAGTTTGCAAAATCGATTTTGAGCGGTGAGTCGCTGGTACTGGTGATTTAGAGTTAACAAATAAGTTCGATTTAGAACTCTCATTCTGGGCTTCCGAGTTTATACTATTTTCATCTCTTTCTTTTTTAATTTGTTGGAGATGTGTCTTCAGATTCTTGCAATTCATTTTTAACATTTCCTGAAGATTTAAGCTTTTTTTGTTGTGGACGATAATCGTCAGAAGAAGTTAGCAAGTGTCTTTTTGGGATTCTAATTTCTCTTCCTTTACTTGTTAATTTTACTTCTTTTGTGGACTTCTTTTTCGAATTTTCCATTGTGACCTAAAAATAAACAATAATTTATAATATTAACAATTTCAAATTGCTAAAACTTAAACATAAATATCTAGTTAAATCTTTACAATTTTTAGCCTTTTATACATACAACAATAATACAAGTTATTCATTCAATGATGAACATTTACATCGTCAGACACTACTAAGAGTTGATAGTAATAAGGCACAAATAAATTTATTTTCAATGAGAGTTTCTTCTTGTCCTACTATGTGATTCCATTTTGGGATTAAGTGCACTTTATTTTTAATATCAGTAAAAGGTACTGCACGAAGTTCAGGCATTAAATTCAAACATTCATAAATATTAACTTGATATGATGTTAAACTTACGTTGTAGATAGCAGGCTTAGATTCAAATTCTTGGAGAACTATTGTAATAATTCCGTCAATTAATACAATATTTTTTATTACGCAAATTTTTGCGTTTTTAAGTATGCAACAACTATCACGCAATGCAACAGCAAAAGTAAATCCCTCGAATTTTAAATGTTTAAACTGACGGAAAAGGTGGGTAGGAACATTATTAGGGACTAGTTCGTCACCATGTCTTTGTGATAAAGTTATGCCTGTATTGATGTTTGAAGATTCTGGAATAAAACGAACTTTTTCAGATATTCTTTTATATACTTGTTGAAGTTTCATGGCTGGTTTTCTTATATACTTTCGTAATTCAGACATATTGTTTTCAAAACAAAATGCACTAAAGGTTTCCGCTGAACCCAACAACTTTACATCACCCACAAGATGTAGAAGACCGTGAACATTGTAAGAGAGAGACTGCTGATCATACAGAAGCAAGCATAACTTTACAAAACTTTCTAAAGCTTCTTGACAAAATTGGTTCATATCGGGCAGAGTTTCCTTCGATATAAGTAGACGCATAACGCTATGTAATATCATAAGATGAAGGTAATGATTTTCAAAAAAAATATCATTTAGAACAGAAGGTGCTGTATATAGCAAAAATTGTCGACAGTCTGTTGCTTTAAACTTTCCAAATTTACTATTTTTTGAAGACAATAATTGAATTCCGAAGGACAGTATGTTTGCAGTGTTAACATTCTACTATTAAGAATTTCCAATTTTCTTGCACCTAATTTATCTTTTCGAAATCCGAAATTACCACTAATATATGCTGCCATTATGTATTTTCTTGCAAACTCCAATCCACACCAGATGCATAGGTTCGAAAGGAACTTGAGAAACCAATCCAAGTAAGGGAGCCAGGGGGCTTCTCCCCTTATGATAATCATCATCTAATAAATTATAATACTCAGCATCTGTTCTAGGTTGGTGTTCAGTGCCTTCAAAGATCATGGTTCCTTTAAATCCTATTACTGTACTTCGGTCTCCTTCAACTTTGCATTTTGAACAAGCATGAGCTCTTGCTGGTGCATCAGCAATGAAGCATCGTATAGTTAAAAGCAATTGTCGACCATTTATTGTTATCCCGCCATCTTCGAAGATTGTTGTAATTTCTTGAATCAACTGTTCATAAAATGCAAATATATCATAAGGTTTTTGTTTACCTTTATAAATCTCTACTATAAAAGGCTTGATTTTAGGAATGTTAAATATTCTGATCTGATGTGGCCAAAATTGAAAATCTCCTTTGTCAACTTTTGCTCTATCAGTTCTCAAATCTATTACCAGGGATGCTGGTAGTAAATTAGGAGGCAAATTTTCTAATTGAGCAATTAGAGTTTTTTTGAAACCAATGTGTAGGTACTCACCTCCTTCAATTTCTGTAATTTTTGAGCTAGCTACAACAATCGGAGTATTTAGAACAATTCTTGAGTCTTTGGGTAACGAAATTAAGTTAAAGGGAAACTGACGTAAAGTTTTCAAAAGTATATTTCCTTGCTTGTGGTTTATATTAGCATTCAGAAAAGCGTTTTTCATTGTCGACAATTGCACATCACGAATATTTCGTTGAACATAAATATTCTTATTTTCTTCTTCAGCATCGCTTCGATCTGTGACACTTGAATCTTCATCCGGGCTCATAGAAATATTACTGTCACTTAAAACTTCATCATTGGTAATGGTTTCCTCGTTAGATTCTTGAGGCAATTCATCAGCTGAATGCTGTTCCTGATGTCCAAGTGCAACATTTTGTAGTGCTTCTTCTTCGATTTTACTATTGCTGGGCGTAGAATTTTGTTGGTTTATTTGATTTTCGCGAATAGTAGATAAACGCCTTCTTTTTTGTCTTGAGCTTAGAGAAGAAAACTGTTTGAATTTTCCAGACATTTTCTTGTTTTCTGCACTAGATTCAAAGCAAGAAAATATGTAAACAATAAATTTAAAATTAAATATGTGACGCGCTCCAAAGAAAAGTACCTAAGAAGTAAACGAATTTTTGCTTCCGTGTATTCATTAATCCGGGTATTGTCGTTAATGTATTCTCCTGCCTCGCGTATTAAACGGATTTCAATTTCAGTTGGATTCCTTATCCCATTTTGTGCCATTCCAACAAAGTAGTGTCCTTGTGGCATGTTTTCGGGAATTCTTTCATTCGGTATGTCTAACAAATTTCTAATTTCATTTTTGGCTGCTTCTGACATATTCTCCGTGTAAACAGCTTCTTCTACAAACTTTCTCAAAAGGAATCTATCCACAATTTGATCAGCACGAGCATGAGGGCTTTTTACATCATTTTTTAGTTTTGAGCAGAAGCTTTCGAATCTGGTCCATGTTGACTTGTATGAATATTATAAGTCATATTCGAATTTCCGTAAATATTGGATGTAGCAACGAACTGCATTAAATATGCTCAAGTAAGAATTAAGTCATTGTCTGATATCGACGCATTGTTTAAAATAAATACTGCTTTACTTAACAACGCTAAGTTAGTGAAATATGGCTCATTCAAAATATCCTCAAGACATGGAAGAGCTAGATACAGGAGCCAATTTCTCCATTCCAATATGTTTGAGGTAATTTGTTTAACGCATCCCAAAAAGTAACTGTGAACATCGTCATGTACTACTCCATCAGCCATATCAAACTCCCTTAATAATTTTAAAGGGCTATAACCTTTTATTCCAAACAATTTTTCTCCAGTTAGTACTACAAATCTCATGTCATTCACTATTTCATCGTGCGTTCGTAATTGAATGTGATTAGAAGAAAAAATAATTTTATTGTTCTCCCAAGTTCCTTTAACATAACATCTAGGACATGGATAATAAGAATTATGGGGAGACATTCTTAACGCTTCTGGTTTTGCAACTGAATCAGCTGTAAATACTAATGTCGCAAATTTACTTACGATCTCTTCTTGTTCCGGTCCATTTGGATACCACTTTATACCTCTTTCGTATAAGTCGTCAAGTTGACTAATAATTGGTCTCAAAAGAGAAGTGATTTCTGGTTTTTTTTTCCGACGTAAATCCCTGCTAGTAACATATGTTTACTTCGAGCAAAATGGGACAAGCTGAAGCATTCGACGACTTGGCTAGGGACACTCCATTTAACCACATAGTTAAGGAGAAATTATTATCATTAGATAAATACTTCCCCTCTTAAGAAAGTTCGCGATATTTGGCGCCATCATATATGTCCTCTTTATTTTCTTGGTTGATTTTGAAACGCTCATGCTTATACCGCAAAGATTTGGCGATATTTGGCACTTTCAATAAATCTTGTAAATGAGGTTTTAGGCGGACAAGAATAAAAGTTCCCAAATGTTTTACATCTTTATTGGGTCCACATTTGCCACACAAACATGTCTGTGTTGGTACTTTCCCATCGCCAACTTTTTGTTTGCAAAATGTGCAATATAGCGAATAATCTAAATTGGATCTATCCCGATTCAATACCTTCCACAATTGCTTCTTTGTCGTAGGAAGGTCAATCTCAATGAAGCTTTCTTAAAGCCAGCGCAAAGATGTGGAGGTAAATGCGGATTTGTAGAAGGAATCATATGTCCGAGAGATTCATACACAGTCATGAAATCATTATATTCCTTTTTATGCTCAGGATATTTTTCGAGTCGAGTTTCAATGCGTTTTAGAGAGCGTTCTGCTATATGACGAGACTCACCAATTTTTGGGACTTCGGAATCGAAAGGATATTGAACCATATATTGTCCGTTTTTTACTCTTTTATGTGTCGACATAAAATGTGATTCACAAAACTCATCTTCTGGGGACGCGGGCTTTTCATTTGTGATACTCTCTCCTTCCCAGAATTTTGTCAATGCGGAGTTTAATTGATCGAATGAAGCACAGTGGTGAACAGAAATTTCAATAAAGGTTGAACAGACACTGGATGTGACCGGACCAGATAGAACCCAGCCAAAGACAGTGTTTGAGCTACTGGCTCATCGTTTCCTTCTTTTCGAATTTCATTTAAGATTGGCGCGCCATATGAGCATGTGAATTTTCTCATTGCTTGTTAAGGAAGAACCCTCCCTGCATTGTGAGTCAATGCAATTACCATTTCAGTTTTCAATTTATTCACCTAGTACTAATGCAACGCTTAACAACATTGTAATGCTTCCTCCGATCTCATTTCGCCTCGTCTGTCATTCTTATTAACCATGTCAGAAAATATTTCGGAAAATTCTGATAAAGTCGTTAAAAAAATACTTTTGCAATTTTAATTCAAATATTCTGATCTTCTTGATTCGTGACGATTGTAGGTTGTCATATTTTGTAAAAATTGCCTATGAACAGAGGAAAATTTGTTAGAAAATGAATATTTACCAATTTCACGTCATTTTAACCGGACAGTGCCGTATTTGTTGGGTGATGACTGTTAGTCGCACATTATCGAGAAATCTTGATTTGAAAATGATTTTTCTCCCAATTCGGACAGTTTTTGCAAAACCGGAAAAAATACTAGAAATTTTTTTAGAAAATGAATATTTACCAATTTCACGTCATTTTAACCGGTCAGTGCCGTATTTGTTGGGT